GGAAGTGGTTGAGTCCCCATCCCTGGAGGTGTTCAAAAGAGGTGTAGATGTGGTGCTTAGGGCCATGGTTTAGTGGTGGACTTGGCAGAGTTAGGTTAACGGTTGGACTTGATGATCTTAAAGGTCTTTTCCAACCTCAATGATTCTATGATTCTATGACTCTATGATTCTTTTCCAAGCATCCCTCTAGCTAGTGACCTGCGACTGTTCTGAAGAGTTTCTGGGGAAAAAAGTAGTTCTGCTGATCCAGAGCCTGAAGGCAGAGCCTGACCAGCTGGATGGCCTTTTTTCCCCTTGGGCAAGATATTGAATGACCTCCGTTTAACAAAACCCCTTGGCATTTGGCCCACACAAACCACAAATGACGCCTTCTCACCCAAAGGGAATAAAAAAGTTTCACCTCCCTGCAAGCAACAGGTCTCTTTTGTTAAAAGCCCCTTCAATTTTAGACACTGTGATTAATTTCTGTCAGCCCAGAGAAGGCATCTCTGCCAGACCATCAAGCTCAGCCATGCCCAGGGCTACCATCCACTTCAGTTACTGTTTAAGAGCCACAAAGGATGCAACCCTGGTGGCTTCTCCAAATAAAACTTACCTTGGGCTCAGACAGAGATTGCCATGTCCTCTGCAATCAGTGCAACACCAAGTACCTTTTGAAAACATTAGTTTACCTAAAATAAGCCCCAGATCTGTGTCCTTCATACTGTCCTGTGTGATCTTAAAAAAAACAACTAAAAGCTTAAGGGACCCATTTCTGGTTAAAGGAGTTTTTCCAACCCTCTGATCTGTTTGCAAACAGCTTCTCTTTCAGGTAGGAGCATGAGGACATGAAGCTTAAGCAGCAATCTTCCAGCAGTGTCCCCCAGTTTTGCAGTTTAACAGACAGTTCAGGTACCCCAATGGATAAGGGACTGCTTGCCAACACCTCCCCACAAAAAGCTCTTCCCTCTACACAGCTGCTACCCCTCATGGCTTGAGGACAGCCCTTTGGCTGCTGAGCTGGAACGATTCTGCTATCAGGGAATACTCAGAAAGCATCGCCCAGATGAGACCACCTCCGCCAAAAGCCTTTTTTTTAAATCAAGAAAACCATTTGTTTCAACAAAAGCAAAAGTGGAACAGCAGCTCTATATTTCTGGAATTAAGTTAACATTTTTAATAGGGAAAATATAAAGTAACCACAGAAACAAAACAGAAATTAGAAGGCTCATCCCCAACTCCTGGTCACTGTACCTTACCAGGGACTCCTGCTCCCGGCTTCTGCTGCAGCTGATGCTATGCTGGGACCATGGTCTGCTCTGTCCACGCCTTGAGGAGCTCCTTATCTCCCACCTACAGCTCCTCCAGCTGCTCCAAGCTCCTTTCAAGCTCTCCCTGCTGAAAGTGCATGGGGACCTCACTGCACAGGGGCTCTATCCAGCTCTGTTTCCAGCAGTTTTAGGGCAAGCCACATTCAGAAGTGGGGGGTGCTTGGGGCAGCCTGCCTGATCCCAGCATGGGGGTGAGATGGGGGAAGGTGGACCAACTCAGCAGCTACTGTCCTGCCAGTCTGACTTTATGAAGGCTGCTGTTCTGCTGCCCCATTTCAGCTAATTAAATGTGCTCTGTGTGTGCTCCTTGGAAAGCTTCAGTATTGTGCTCGCTGGCTCCTCTACCACCTCCTTCTCTTATTTTATTTTATTTGTCGGAAGCCAAGCAGTCATACTGTGAAGCTGAAGGTGCTTCCAAAACTTTTCTTCCAACAGTTGGGTCCCTAGGGATCCAGCCCCTGTCCTGCAAGATGGTCAATGGATTTGATTCCAGGATTTGATATATACTCCCACTTCACCCTGGCACAGGTCCTTCTGCCATGTCTGTGCCCTTTGTACCTCCACGTTACTGCCCCACCAACCCCCTTCCTCCCAGCTACTGCACTGTGTCCTAGCGTGCATATTCCTTAGGCTCCCAGGATTTGTGCAGAAGCTCATGAGTAATCCTACTAGCTCTGTTTCCTTGTAGCCTGCCGGCAACATTTCCCAAGAGCTTGTCCAGAAAGCCCCTGCTGCCCCTGGCCAGCTGGCCAACCTGCTCTGGTGTTGCACTTCATACGTGGCTGTCGACCTCCTTGTGTCACCAAAAGCGCTGCCAACCAACCTCCTGATCTCCCTGCATCTATCCAAATAAGATAAGGAAAAGAGTCGGTTTCAAGGTCTTCAGTCCACGTTTCTATTTGCTCATCTGGCGCCTTCCCAAGTGACAGGAGAGCTCCCAATTTTTCAGTGAAACTCCTGTTGTAAATGTAAATACATGGGCACAAAGCATAGCTGTGTGGGTGTTAGTGCTTTGCCAGCGTGCACCAGACATGACCCGGCATGCCAGGCTGGAACAGGGGTGCTCCTTCTCCCCATCCGCTTCATCCTGTCCGACGGAGGTGTCCTGTGCCAGGCTCACCGTGTGGGCAAGGTGCATCAGCAAGACGTGTCAGACCAGGAGCTGCCTCAGCTCCTCAGCTGCTGACTGTCCAAGCTGTCTTTCTTCAGACCAGCTGCGCTACTTGCGCTCCCTTGACTTGCCGTGAGGCTGCCTTTGATGGAAATGAGCACCCCGAAATTCCCACTCCCACCTCCAAAGCAGAGCCAAAAGCCCTCCCCATCTTTCTTTGGTAAAACAAGGCAGGCTGGGCTTTTGATCATCAAAGTTTGCGTCTTTGGAAGTAGGAGGAGCCGTCTAGTCATCCAAGCTTCTGATGACTGGTGCCTCCGATGACTGTGAGAGGCAGCGCGCTCTCTCTTTTGATACGCTATCAGCTGGGTTTATCAGAGTATCAACACAACCTCCCCACTCCGGGACTCCTCCCTCCTGGCCAGCTCTCCCTGCAGAGCGGGCAGGGGCTGCGTGGGAGCTGACCTCACCTCTATTTCAAGGAATCTTAACAGCAGGTTTTAAGCTACTTATTTACTTTTTTTGGTCTGTGCAGGAAGTCTGAGCTGAAAAAAAAACCAGACAGAAGTATAATTACTCTGGCACGCCTGCATT